TCAAAAAAAAAAAAAAAAAGAAAAAGAAAAGTGAGGAGATGGCAGAGGTCAAATCAACAGGATAACTGTTTCCATGTTGGGGGATGAGAAAGCATCCGTGAGTCAACGAGGACTCCCAGGTTTCTGTGTGGATGACTGAGCCATTCACTGGTAAATAAAACACAGGAGGGGGAGAAATTCTGAAACTTGCATAGAAGGGCCTGCCACATATTAAGTAGGTGCTCAATAAATAGCTGTTGAATTGAAATGGAATTTAAAGGCAGTAGATTGCTACTTTTGGAGTACTTTTCAACTGGGACTCAAGACGGTGAGTGGTGCAGGGTGTATGTGGCTGGTGGGAGGGGCCAGGAGTGAATGTCAACCAAAAAGTACCCAGAGTGAAAGGAGGGCTGAGAAGGGAATTCTGGAAAACCCAACTTTTAAGAGGTGATATAAGAAAAGACTAAGAGGAAATCCATCAGCTGCCATTTATTGAGCACCTACAGCAAGGGACTGTACTGAATGCTTTAAAAATTGCAACTAGGTATCCCAGGAGAAACGTGTTTATGCAGCAAGTGGCCAGCAGGATACTTCTATGTACCATTAGAGCCCAGGATTCGTGGAAACAGGAGAAATTGTACAATGATCTATTAATATTTGACATTCAAACCACATTCCAGGTTCCAACATTTGCCTTATTCCCCCAACTCCCCCACGCCTTCACATGGAGTCTGGATAAGGTGAAATTACTTTTATTGACGGTGAATGCAAGCAGGTGTGAGTGGCTGCACCTCTTTTAGAGGACACAGGGCACTGAGCTTAAGGAACTGGGAAGGGAGAGTCAGAGAGGGGCTGTAGATGCGGGACTCGCTCCTTATTAGGGCGTGAGTGCTACATTCTGAAAGGATTTATTTTGGAACAAGGCATAGGCACAGAGGAGGCGGGCAGCACCAGCCATCAGGCTGCACTCTCTATTTGTTGCAGAGCCTCTTTGGCAGCCCCGGGTCTCCCGGGATCTTCCTCGGTGTCCTGCGAAGGCTCTGGCTCCAGCGGGGACTCCAGCGCAGGCTGGGCTTCCGGCTGGCCTTCAGCGCTCCGGCCAGGCCCAAGGCGAGGCGGCTTGACCGGTGTGGGCGGTGGCGCTGCAGGGCCTTTCCGGCCCGAAAGGGCTCTTCGCAGGCTCTGTACCTTCTGCAACCCGGTGCGCCGCAGCCGCCGAGCCCGGGACTCCACCGGCTCCTCGTCCGAGCTCTCTCCAACCTCGGCCTCTGGCTGCTCTGGACCCAGCTCGGACTGGTCTCCCTGGCTCAAGGGCTCTGGTGCTTTCTGGAAGGCGCTTGCTGGGATTTCAGCCTCCTCCTGCATGTGACGGACAAGGCACTGACCCTGGCGGCCCCTTAGCCCACACCTTAATCACACAAGGGGAACCCTCCCCACCCTCCACTCCGCAACTGGAGAGGGAAAGAAAAGGCGGGCCTGGAAAGGTAGGGGAGACGGAGGAGTGAGGGAGGGAGAGCTGCGGGCGACCTGCAGAAGTTTGCGAAGTGAGTGAGACCCGGTGAGAGACGCTAGACTACGGCGGCCACAGTCATGGAATGTGCTTGCACCACCGTTACTTTGGGGATGCGCTGGGACTTAGACCACACTGTGCGGACGTGGCCTGAGCTAGAGCTGGGCGGGCATGGATTGGCCAGGATGGGCTCTGGCGTGCGAGGGAGGGATGGGGCCGGGGTGTGGGAAGTGGGTGCGGCTCCTGACGTCTGTTTCCACGGCAACCGAGGGCGGATGGGGTCAGGAATGTGCGTGTGGTAGGCGGATGGGAAGAGGGATCCCCGACACGGTGGCCCAGAGGCTTGGACAGGCCCCGGATTGAGGGGGACGCTGGCGGTCACTGACCTTGAAGAGCAGAACGTGGAGCTTCCCGCGCGCCACCAGCAGCCCGTGGTTGGCCTCCAGCCGCCGCACCTGGGCTGCGCGGCTCACCGCACGCTCCTGAGCGGCGTCGGCGTGCGAGCCCACGCGCTCGGCCTTGGCCAGCAGCTGCGCCAGGGTGTTGCTGGTGGTGTCGTGGCTGCGACTCAGCGCGCCCAGGCTGCTCTGGATGCGGTGCACGGAGCCCGCCAGGCCGCCCTGCCTCTGAGCCAGGCCACCCTGGCGCTCCCGCAGCGTCTCCAGCATGGTGGCCAGCTTTTCCAGCAGGGTCACCACCGTCACGGCGTGCACGGGGCCCCCCACCGGCACCTCGGGCACAGGCCCCGGCTCCAACGCGCTCTCGCCCATGATCCCTGACCGCCTTGCCTGCCCAGCCTGCAGCCGCCGGCTCCACTGGGCTGGGGCCGCCTTTCCCGGGCTCCTCCCCAGCTCCAGCCGTGACTCAGGCAGGCGGAGTTGGCCGGGCGGGGGCGGAGGCCGCTGGCGGGATGTGGGCAGCGGGGTCCTTTGGAGGCACTCCCCCTTTCTGCCGCCCAGCGCCCGGGACCCGCCGGGAAGCAAGAAGACCCCAGTCGGCTCCCCACGAACCCTCTCACTCTGAGTTTGAGTTCCCCTCCTCCTCTCCAGTGTGCCTTTCTGGGACGTACACTTCCCACCCCAAAGGACGAGTCACGGAAAATTTTATTTCATGTATCGAATGGGCACAGAAAGAGATGGAAAGAGATAACCAGAAGGGCTTCTGCTGCTGCCCACCCTTGGCCTCCCACACTGCTGACGAATGTAGCTTCGCGGCCCCCGGGCTGGGCACGGCGGCAGACAGGCCCTGGAATGTTCCGCTGCTGATCCAGGCGGCTCGGCTTTGTGACTGAGCTGGCTGCACAATGAGGGCTGGCGGGCGGGGCATCCTCTGGTATTTTCATAACGGTCATTGCCAAGGTTTAGCCGCAGGCTGCAGGCTTCGTTAACTGCTTCTCTATTTCTTGCCTTGGGTAGCACCACCCTGTTTTCTTTCTCTAGTTCTCTGCCCTCTGTTTCTTTGGGTTTCAAGGGTAAGCTCAACAGCATCTAGATCCTGCACCCAAGCTTGGGGGACAGGCAGGACACCTCTTCCTTTGAAACCTTAAAAGGGTTAGGGTAGGTACTGGTATGTCTTTGTTTTTGATGGAGGTTGGTTGCAGCTCCTACCCAATGTCTTTTGTTTCTTGTTTTTTGTTCTCTCTGGAAATAGGTGATAATATCTGCTAAAAGTTTGAAGTTGCTGCTATACAGAGGGAGAGAATGAGCATGGAGGGTCCAGCTAATGACGTGGATCATGGATTTGTAATGTCATCAGTTTGGGAAACCCCATGCCTTGACTTTGGCTATACTTTGCAAGCCGTTTGTAGTCTCACAAGCAATCTGTTGATCCTGATACCTCTCTTCCTCTTCCTCTCCTCACCCAACCTGTGAGGGCCACTTGATAACAACTGTGGAAGAAACTTGTGTCACTCAGGAAATAGTTATGTGGGCCTCAAAGGACCCAAAGTCAAAAGTACAGCAGACAGTAGGCAACTAATACCAGAAATCTGGTGATGCTAAGTTGATGCCTGATTTCTGCAAATACAAGGTCAAGGAGCCTGGTCCCCCTGCTTACCACGAGAGAAAATGGATTCCCTTGGGAGCCTGGTGGAAGCACCATCTCTTCCAGTGGAACTACATTTGACCAGAGAAACCCATCAAGGATGTGCCAGTTAAGATGCTTTCAGATCAAGGGGACAAAAACCCAATTCAAACAGTCCTTAGTAACAGGAAACCCAATGCAAGCATAATTGGAAAAACCATTGGTAGAGTGATGATTAAGTGTGAGTCAGTCACAGCTCCATGTCTGGTTCTTTTTTTTTTTTTTTTTTTTTTTTTGTTGCTCAGGCTAGAGTGAGTGCCGTGGCGTCACCCTAGCTCACAGTAACTTCAAACTCCTGGGCTCGAGCCATCCTGCCTCAGCCTCCCGAGTAGCTGGGACTACAGGCATGCGCCACCATGCCCGGCTAGTTTTTTTTTCTATATATTTTTAGTTGTCCAATTAATTTCTTTCTATTTTTAGTAGAGACGGGGTCTCGCTCTTGCTCAGGCTGGTTTCGAACTTCTGAGCTCAAACAATCCACCCGCCTCGGCCTCCCAGAGAGCTAGGCAGGTCTGATTCTTTACAGTTCTCTCAACTGCTCAACTCTGAGCCGCATCCCCCACCCCCACACCCCACACACACAGGTTTCAGCTTCATTCTCAGATTGCAAGTAAGGTAGCTACAGCAGTTCCAGGCCTCACATCTCTGCATAAGATCTAAAAGAAAGAGAAAACTATCTTAAAATTTAGAACACTTATTTCCCAGAACCGCCTCTAATTTTTCTACTTGCCTTCCACTGGGTTACATGGTCATTCCAAATTCTGTGGTTACAAAAGTGTCATACATTGATAGGCTTAGGCCTGAGTTCCTGAACCAATCACTGACAAGAGAGCTAATAATTATCTTTTGACAAATTAGGTCCACTTCTAGAGCAGGGTAGGTTCAGCTTCCCCAGGAGCATATAAGAGGTATGGGAGGAAAAGAGGATATCTGTACAAGAATGCTAGGAATGGGTAGTCAATCATAAATACCTGCTTCAGAAAGCCTATAAAAGAATCACCAGCCTTGAGGAGGGGAGCTAAGGGAGTCCAGTGCATTTGGAAGCAAGAACTACTTAGATAGATAGGTTTTTTTTCTTTTCATAAGACAGCCTACCATTGAATGGATAGAATTTTTTTAAAGGCCTGCTAAATCCCTCTCTGGATATGTAGAACAAGGAGGACCTTAAAACCTAGGAATAGAGCCAATGATGGTTCAGCCAGCACCCCCAAAACCTCAAGCATAAAAGCCACAGGAACTGGCTAATATTGGGAAATGGAAGCCCATGCGAGGTGTATAAAAATAACATGGGGCAACCCAGAAGAATGCCGAGTCAACAAAGCCCAGATTGACAGAAATTGTGGTAAAGTGACCTTGATCATCCAGGAGTATCCAAGGAAAAATCTTGTTGCAGTTTCCAATAAGTGTGCGAAAAGAAGAAAGAAAACAAGCATGCAGTATCCTCTGTTAAAAGATAAATGTAGGCACATTAAAATTTGAAAGAGTTTATTTGAGCTTTGAGTTTATTCATAAACTGGGCAGCGCTCAAAACCAAAACAGGTTCAGAGAGCTCTGCTGCAACAGCACGGGCAGTGAATTTTTATAGGCTAAACATGGAAGTAAGACAAAATATATTTGATTCATCATAGTGGAAAGTCCCTAGTTAGAGGTTAGTTGGTGGTTTCTGATTGGTAAAGTCTCTAGTTTTGCTTTACCGTTTACACTGGGCTTTGGTTTGCTTATGTAGGAACCCAAAGTGCTGGAGCTGTCTCAGCCTGATGGCCTCCCAGTTAAAAAAAAAATTTAACACCCCTAAGACAGTGATCATAGATTAAAGATTTCTGTTCTCTAAACCAAAGCTGTGGCTAGAATCCACTCCCTCAAACCCCTTAGTATGGACATGAAAAGTGGAAACCTTGGTTGATTTTGTCCCCAAAAAGATACGTTCAAGTCTTAATCCCTGGTACCTATGAATATGACCTTATTCAGAAATAGAGTCTTTGCAAATGTAATCAAATTATAAGGTCATAATGGAGTACGATGGGCCCTTCATCCACTATGACTGGTGTCCTTATAAGAGGGACAGAGCATAAGGAGAACACCATGTGACAACACAGGCAGAGACTGGAGTTATGCTGCCACAAACCAAGGAACACGTGGGAGCAACCAGAAACTGAAAGAGGCAAGGAAGGATTCTCCCCTGGAAGCTTTGGAAGGAACGTGGCCCTGCCAACACTTTGATTTCAGACTTCTAGCACCCAGTATCGTGAGAGAATAAATTTCTGTTGTTTTCAGCCACCTAGTTTGTCATAATTTTTGTTTTAGTATCTCTGGGAAACTAATATACCCACTGATTAATCACAATCAGTATCATAGCATCCCTTTACCCAGGATATCCCTCCAAAAAAGGCCTCTCCAATTAATTCTCCAGAAGTATGAAATTCTCTGTAAGAAAATTTAATAGAACCTGAAGACTCCCAGTAGAACATAGACAGTTAAACTAATAGTTGCCCAGATAGAAGGAGTCTTGCAAAACTCAGTGGAATGTTATGGTAGTTAATGCTTTAAAAATCAAAACAAAGGTATTTCCCACCCTGCTTGTCAAGATTTCCTTTTATACACTGGCCCGTCTCCTCTCCAGAGCACAGCATACTATTAGGAAGAGTTGCTTCTATTAAGAAAAAAAGTTTACTACACCTTTCATCAGGGCTGGGCCTGCCTGGAATATATCTGCCTAACAAAGACCTGCTCAGAGTGGCCCTCTATCTCTACCTCTGTTAAGAACAGCTAGGTGCTCCTTTTGCTTTAAGGAAACCACTCAAAGAGACAGATTGGGTTATAGTGCCTTAGATGGTATCATCCTTGTTTTCTTTCTTCTTTTTTCGGTGATCAGGTGCCCCGTTATATAATGCTGCAAAGGTCCCCTAAAACAAAAGTGGCAGAGGCATGGCAGTTCTTAACATCATACCCAAAGGGATGAGCCTATGCCATTAGGTTCAAGGACCATCCACAAGGGATCCAGCAGACAGGGATTACCTGGAGTATCAGTGCTTAAACCCATGACAGGTGGTGAAACACGTGTGATACCTCCCACTGCAACAAAGAACAACAGTTAATGGATGTTTGGATTTTAGAGTCAGCACACGCTCAACCTTGGAATTTTTACACACTATATATCCCGGGGTCATCCAAAAGGGTACATACTCTCAGTAGGATTGGGAGGAGCCTCAGTGGCTGACCCTGGCAAGTTACAAGTTACAGTCTGGTCAGTTCTACCCCTTGGACCCAATAAGTCAGGAAGACGAGACCTGAGGCTCTGTAATTTCTGCCTCTCCCACCAACATGGTTTGTTGGTAAAAAAGGAGGGCAAATCCTATACGGAAAATATGGCAGAAGTATTTAGGATTTTGGACTAAGGTAATGCTCAGCAGCTTTTGAAAAACAATTGCTGCCTTATTACTGGATGCTAGTGGAGAGATTCAACAGAGGTTGCTGGGTGGTTTTATGTATTGGAACCCTGTGTCTCACATAGCAATGTATTCTAATAGTCTTTGATTATTAAATAGAAAAATCAAAATCTAAGAAGGGATTAGAGATATCTATGTGAGTTCGTTATACAAGAAACATCCTTGACCCTGAGCCTCACTTTTAGCTGCCAAAACAAACTGGGCATCCTCCAGGGACTTAACCTTTGACTCAAAAGTAACAATGTTGGTGGGGAGCAGTGGCTCACACCTGTATTCCCAGCACTTTGGAAGGCCAAGGCAGGAGAATCACTTGAGACAAGGAGTTTGAGACCAGCCTGAGCAAAATTGCGAGACCCTGTTTCTATAAAAAATAGAAAAATTACCTGGGTATGA